CTACGCGGATGTATCTACTCGCACACGTCACAGCATTTTTTCTATAACTTTCTTGAAACAATACATACGGAATCCAGTGTTCAAGCGGCCAACATAGGCTAGTCCTTCTGCTGTATTGTCAAAGATACAAGCAAAATTTATTCAAAAGGGTCAAGCCTTGAAAACTAAGCTGTCACGCAGCTCCAGCTTGATACCCAATAAAAAAATCCACGAGCCTTTAAAACTGTGCATAGAATTTGACTTCAGATTCTTGAACATTTCTTGAAGTATTATAGCTTTTAAGTCCAGAACTAGTACAAATTTAAAATTTGTAGAAAATATGCATGTTCCAAAACCAAAAAAAAAAAAAATAAATAAAATTGATGCTTCTGATTTTTTTTAAATTTATTTGTTGCTGAAGATTAATCCACTGTGGATCTATAAAGTTCAAAGTGTGAACGAAAATATCGAGTAAAATGAAATGCTTGTATCTTAAAATTGATTATTTTCTTTAAAATATCCTTAGTAAGAAAATTATTAAATTCTCTGAGATTTCCAGGTGTTTTAAGGAAACACCCGTTCGTAGTCTAATACCATGTGTTTGGCCATAAACTTTCTATTGAATCTTTCGCTTTAAAGGTTCATATCGTAAATAAGTGTTTATGAGATACTACCTAGGTAATTGAATAAGTCTAAAACATCAGACATTTGTTTGGTGTGTCATCAGGACGACTGCTTTTCTTCTCTTAGATCACCTAGTCACTATTTTTACAACTATAAGTCACTATTTGGTCACTTATTTCTTCAACATGGTCACTAAAATCACTATTTTTGAGAGCAGTGATTGCAACCAGCCCTGAGCTTATAGATACAAGAAGTTCACATGTACATTAGCGCCGCGTAGTGAGTTAATTCAAAATTTAATGGTGCACCCTTTGGAATACCTTGATCACCATCCCTCCTCAATGGGGGTGTTTGGTAAAAAGGAAGTTCAACCCGATTCGTAGCATCCTCAAGATTGTCCTTTGCTCGCTTTCTATTTTCTATATACAATTTTCACACTGCCGTACAAATTAGGGTTTTGAGCTTCTTGCCCGTGGACACCTGGTACATGTCCAAATATTATTAGTGCATCCAAGTTATTCATTTGATTTAATTTTATCATCCTTGTAATCATATTATTTACATATCGAGCACGAATAAGCAAGGTACTCTATCAGAAGGCATTTGCTACGTACTTTTCCGGAGGGGACTGGAGAAGGAGACTTTTTGACTAAATGCTAAGATGGGGGATGGCCTAAAATGGCCCCTTAGGGAATGCTGAAAAGAATTCCTTGGAAACTTCCTCTTAAAGCAATACAAGTTAATTTTGTGGAAGAACGGAGTACTTCGTAGATTACATACTGGAAACTGTCATGTATTTACATTTACGCTCTTATTCTGGTTGCTTAAGGAAAACTATTAGGAAGTGAGAGAATTCCACGGCAATTAATCATTTTGTTCGACCATTTTCCACAGAGATGGCGCTGTTCCGCTGGTAGGAAGTGATAAAAATCCCCATATAGAAATTGAGAGAAGTGGGAATAATTCGCTTCCGGTGCATATTAAGCTAAAAAAAAAAGTGAACGACAACCTAAAGAAATTAGTCAGGGGCTTTGTCGTCGAGGGGGACGACTCTATCTACGAAGCAGGAAAGATTGTGTTTTGCTGTGGCCAGGGTTACCATATCAAAAACTTGAAAATGAGGACATTTCATTTGAGGATTGGAGACTAAGGAGGACAATGATTCCTTTTCTTAACATTAAATGAGGACAATGAGTTTTTATCAAACGTTTGCGCTATCACAAAATTCATGATTTGGTTCAATTGAGATTGTTCATAACTTGTAGTCGTTAGCAATTCAATTCATCTTCTCGTTATACTTCTGAAAAATGCATCAAACTAGCCTTCATAATTCTTTTTTGATATGGGAAATGTCGGCTTCGGCAATACCTTGACCTATTATCGTCAGGGGGTAAAGAAAGTCCTAGAGCACTCAAATTTGGCCAATAGATTCTCTGAAACACAATGTATCCACATGCCAAAATTGAGCTCTCAATGACGAATGAAGTAATGAAATGAAGTAATGAAATTGGGTTGTTAGCGGAATGCTTAAATAAAACAACAAAAAGCGTTATCTTCCATTTAATGCCACTTAAATAATTTTGGTATCCATGACAGATACGTATTTCGACTACAATGTGCAGTCTTCATCAGTGTCATTTTCACTAAAGACTTATCAAAAACCTAACCCCCTTAAGTACTCATCCCCTAGGTAAAAATTTTAAGATCACAGGTATAAAAATGAAACTACAATGTGTAGAATCGGAACCTACCTAACTAATAATATCCAATGACGTTGTTTACCCCCTGACGATAATAGAATAAGGTATTGCCGAAGCCGTCATTTATCCTACTTGCAAATGATCTAGTCTATCTGATTTGCATGAAAACTACAGTTTTACAGCCTTAAAACCATATCAACTTTTATCATGTACAAAAATCAGGATACATGTCATCACTGATTGAAACCAACATGGAACATCTAAGCAACCTGTTAATTTTACAATTGATTCAGCATAGGACTCTAAGGCCGCTACCATAGTAGGAGCGAAGAGGCGCGCTTAGCGTTCTCGTTTTTTTTGTGGTTTTTTCCGTCGATCTTGTTTTCCGTGCTGAGCACCAATGCTACCGACGTGCCAGGAAGGCAGCTCCCACACCTGGACCCTACCTATCGACGCATCAACTCATGAACCGGGGACCAAAGGCGTGAAAGGCGTGATCAGAGATGTTATGCCTCAGACTGGGATTGAACCCAGGCCTGCTGGGCTGAGAGGTAATCACGCTTACCACTACACCACCGGCGCCCGCTTAGCGTTCTATACAAAATAATTCCTATTATTGATTGAATCTAACATGTGGTCGATTTTGACGTTCTGGTTCTATGGGATTTAAGGTATTTTGTTTAGGCGTGCCTCTTCGGTCTCAGTATGGCAGCGGCCTAAACAAAATACCTAAAATCCCATAGAACCAGAACGTCAAAATCGAACACATGTTAGATTCAATCTGTGTGGCTGTGTTCCATTTGGTGAATTTTAACTTAAATTTGACAGGGAGGAAATTTCCAAATAAACCTGCTATTTTTGACGTAGGACTACGTCTTTAATTTGTATACTGGGGGTCACATAAAAAAAAAACAAATGTAACGAAACATCTCAAACACGGTCGCAACGATAGAGCGCAAATCAAACAAACGACACATTGCGCATGCTCACATGAGCGAGCTCAATGCTTTGAGGATCGCTCACCATTTCACTAATGAATGGAACGGAGGAGAAGAGCAGCGATAATAAAAACGCTTGCCAAATCGTTTTCTTCGTCATAAGCTTTCGAGCAACGGACGGATAAGCGTCGGACACAACGTAGGAGGATTCGCTAGGAGCGCTTCTTTTTAAACAACTAAACGTGAACAATGAGCGTAAATTTTCATACAATGCGCTCTAATAGGATTTATGTTGTAGCTAATGAACTAACGCATCTGATCAAACTTATTATAGATTTGTGCATGGTGAAATCATTGATATTAATGATCTTTTCTGATCGATAGAACGGAAATGTGCGATTACGACGAAGTAGTGCTCTACCCTATTTGTTTGTTAGCTGAGTCTCGGAAATTGTTTTACCGAATCTCAGCAAAATAAATTGCAGAACTACTCGGCTATTGGAATCTCGACGAAAAAATTTATGTGTATTCACTAAAACCCTGCCTCCATGCATCAAAAAAATACTGGGCTGTTTTTTTATTATTATAGTCACTTTAACGCTCTTGGGTCATTCGTGACTTAATACTGGGTTGATTTTATTCAGTTTACCGGAGTTTACTCAAACTTGAATAATAGTCGTTTACTGATTTTAGGGTAGACATACTTTCCATCGAAGTATAAATTTGGGTAAGCCGTCTGCCTACATTAATGCAACACACAAGAAAACATATCAAAGATCTTGACATGACATATTGTGCATCGCCTGTCTCATACTTTTCCAATCATAATGCACGCAATATGCAGTTCTTGATTTCCATCAAGCAACTTTGCAACCACTGACCGGCGCGAGGTGCTGAATTCTAGATGATGCTGGGGCTGGGTATGAAAAAAAATCTCAGCGCGAAAGAAGAAGTGAGAACCAAACAAAACGCGCGGAACAATGCATAAATACGTTATAGCAAAATGTGAGAGAGGAACATCCAAACGCCACTGCCACACAGAAGAGGAGAAATCCCTGGCGACGCAATAAATAAAAAATAAAAATACACATTGTGCCTGCTGTATCGGTTAGGTTCCTACTATGGGATCAGGCTGTCAACCAAACGGCGGGAGTAGACAGGCGAACAGAGAGAGGATAATAAAAACGGAAAATTCATTCATGCTATTGTGTGGTTATGTTTGGGTGCTCATAAATTTTCGTTTTTTTTATGCAAAGGAGTTCCTCTGCTGACTGGCTGCATGAGTTGGAGAGAAAGAGCACATCGAGAGTGTCCGAAAAGGTGAAAAGGGGGGTGCACAGTGTGTGGAAAACTGGTTTTAGGAGATTCTACTCTATTCGAGGTTAGATCTGTGTGTGTGTGTGTGTGTGTGTGTGTGTGTGTGTGTGCTGCTAACTGGTTTCCTCCGGCGAGAGAAAATGGAATCGAAGAGAGCGGAGTTTTTGGTGTGCTGTAGAGGAATAGTAAACATGGAGTTGAGTCACGCCTTCCACCGATGCTCCGCCTACTGAACGGTGGCACGTGATTGGGGAAAACGCTATGCTCTCGCATCTCGCGTCGACGTTTGTTTACACGAATACACCGTCAAGGGTGGACTTTATGATCACGGGGAAAAATGAGTCACTGTGTGTGCGTGTTTACGTTGTGCAGCGTGTGCAGTGCCTGAGACCGGTGTGCACGGTGTTCGCTCTCGACCGCTTCCCAGCCGTGCGGTGTTGATTTTCCCGCAGTTGTACCGCGCTCTTCAAACAGTCGAAAGCGTCAAACGCATGCGTGTAGGTTCTTCGTTTGTTCTCGCTCTCTCTCGGAACGGAACCAAAAAGTTAGGGTGCCGTGCGGTAGTGCTCAGTGTGCGACGTGCCTACGATATTTTTTTCGCTCCATAGGATGCTGCTTTTGGCGTGGTGCATCCAGGGAAATCTCTAAGGATTTTTTGGGGAAAAACTCACGCAATGGATTTTTCCCGTTGACAGTGTTTACGTGTGTTTGTGTGAAAACTGTGCTCGCGATTTCGTTCAATCGGTTCAATACTGTGGTGCAAAATCGATAGTTTTTGAAGATCCTATCGGCTGAAGTGGATCGTTGTCCAGAAATATTACGGAACCATTCGGCCTAATCCTGAGCGGGTGTGAGAGTGAAAGTGGCATGATTGTGGGATTCCACTGTGGCCAAGAAGAAATCCGCAGACGAGACGACACGAGAAAAAAAGTAAGGAAGGAGAAAAAATCGATAAGAGTGACCGGTTCCCTCGAGCGAGAACGTCTCTTGGACAAATGACAGCCTGCGAAGGCAGTTCTTGAAAATTGCTCGTTATCTGGAATCGGTCTCGAGTGTCACCGGGACAAAATCGATCATCGCGAGAGCGTGGAACGAAACCGGCTGCCGTTGCTCCTGCTGCTGCTGCATCAATCGTGAATTTCTCTTCTTTTTGGTGTGCTTTAATTTCTTTTCTTAAAACAATCGAGATAAGCAATCTCCCACCGGAGACGAAGACGACGACAACGACGACGGCGGCGACGGGCCTTCCGTATCTCGGGACAAGCGATCCGACAAGGTGGGAGTGGAAAGTGATACCCTGCTAGTGAGTGCATATGCACGGGAACTGTGCGATCTACTGTAGTGTGGAGTTATCGATACAACTTCATCTAGCGCTTGCAGCTATCCAGCCATCCATCCATCAAGCCATCGACGGTTATAGACAAGACCGGGTTGGTGCATTGACAGTTTCAGTGAATCGTTGCTTTATGGCCAAATCTTTTGGATCACTACGACGGGGAAAAATAGTTCATTCGAAGAAAACCGGGTGCGATGTTATCTGATTCGAAACTGTAGTGAAATTCATTCATAGAAAACGCATCGGTTGTTGTTGTACCATTGTTGATGACCGCGCAGTGAAAGGAGTGTTGGAAAAAAAAAATATTGCAATAGGAAAAAAAAAAAAATAGTCACAGCAAATACTTGTATTGCTGAAGCCGAGTAAAGAAGGCTGAGTGTCTCTGAGTGTGCGAAGGCAACTATCAGTTGGGGGAAAAGTGTTGTTTGTTGCTGTTCTTTTTCTTTTTCTTCTTGTGACCGCAGTGCAGTGCCAAAACGGTGACGTTGCATTCGACGGAACACGGGGTACCCGGTGCGAGGACCCCGCTGGGAGTAGTACCGGTCAACATCAACCAGCCACCGACTCACATGGGAGTTTGCACGGAGGAGCGCCCTGTAATGCATTGGGTGAGTTATTTTCGACTGTTTTGATGCCCGCGCTGCGAGAGCGGTCACTTTCTTCCGGTGAAAATCGTCGTTGCACCGGCGGTATTTTAGTGATTTTATGGTTTTATGGAGCGATACATTTAGTTTGATTCGATCATCGATTTTTATATGTTGTTTGAATATTTCCAAACGTTTCGTGGACAGTGATTTGTCAGTAGTTGTTGGAGTCGTTACTTCACTTTTAGTGAGCCAGATCCGTCTTTCTAACTGTCGTTTTTGTCGAGAAAGTTTACAGGCCACAATAGACCTCAATCGGACCGGGAGTCGAACTCATTGTCTACGGTATGGTGTGTCGTGGCTTTACTAGCTATGTACGCTATCGTGAGACCAAATTATGCTCTCTTCCTCGCCGTGTAATTTTATGGCACACTATTCATTCATGTCATTCATCTTCTAGATGAAAGTTTCAGATATACTTTGGTGCAATAAGACTACTGAAAAAGCGTATGGGTTCCGTAGAACATTGGAAAAGATTTTCAAACAGGGGGCCGGCAAAATCGGATTATTACTGTACCGAAAACTGCTGCTATTCGACACAGTTTTGAGTGCCAAAATAGTTATTTAGGTAGCAAGTTGCATACAACACTTTTTCCACTCAAAAACATTGATATTTTAGTTAGAAAATGTAGACCGTTATGTTATTCAAAAGAGTGTCGAAAATTAAAACTTTTCGGCACTGGGTTCCAACGAATATTGTATGCAACTCGTTGCAGAATTCGATTTTATTTCAGCACTCGTTGTAATTATGTACGACTCGCGCTGTAAAAAACTGATTTTTGTAACTTGTTACATAAATAACTATTTTGGCACTCAGCGCTGAATAGTGTCACTTTTCGACAGTATTCTGAATAACGCAATGGTCTACTTTTCCTATCCAAAGTATCAGTGTCGAAAAGTTTCACTTTTCAGCACCCAGTGCCGAAGTTCTACTTTTCAACACTCTTTTGAGTGCAAAAAATGTTATAGGGGAAATGACGGCTTCGGCATGACAGACTATTTTCGGCAACCCAAATTGAAACACTATTTTCACTGGATTTTCTTACGAAAACACTTCGCTGAATGCATGCAAACGATTATTTATGCTTTCAGCTTCAATTTGACTATATTTTTACCACTGAGAAAAAGCAATCTAGCAAGGTTTTCTTGAAATGCAACACACGCACTACAAATTGTAGCTGATTTCGAGTTGCCGATAATAGAACAGCAGATTTACATGCAGTTCAAATGGAACGGTTGCCGAAAAAAACTGGTTGCCGACAATACTCGCTCTCACTAGAGAAGATTGGAGCTTTGTAAAAGCGTTTCAAAACAGTTTTTGACAATTCTTTCGACTGAAAATGTTAGAGCAGCTGGCAACAAAAGATTGTAAACAAACCAATACTGCATATCTGTGCGTTCCTTGGAGAAAAAGGCTATAGAAAGAAGGTCGCTGCTCACTAGCGTGCACAGGAATCTTGTTAAGGAGGGGCAATTTTTTATTTCTATGGTGCATTTAACCTGGGGATGGGGAATACTCCAAAGTGCGTGGTGGATGCTGCTGTCCACCCACCACTGTTTCCTTAGTGTTCAATTTAGCTAATTTTATTTATTTTTTGCTCCGGTGGTGGTTCATCTTCTGCAATGCAAACTTTTTGTCAGACAGCCAATGGAATTGGCAATTTAATCTCATCGACGATGTTGATGATGATCGGTTCGTCAAATGGTTGCAATAGTAGCAAAAATCAATACGAAACTAACGATTTTAAATTGGCTCACCACTTTAGTAGCCTATTGATCCCAAGCAAACGATTAACGTACCCTATTCTAGTCGAAATTCTAGTACAACGCAATGTTTGTTTTGATTCGCTATGAAAGTTTGACAGATAAAATGAGGGGTTATTGGTTTTTCCTATGTTTCGAGGGGTGAATCGCTTAGCTTGGGACCGAAGAGAGTACCAGAGCTGAGCCAAAAAGTTGAGCACGTTATTTCGGGACCTTCTAGTCTTAGAGTTACCTCTATGATAGTAGGGCTTTAACCGAAATGATACTTAGACGAATTCTTAGTAAGACAATAATAGACCAAGGTTCAATGGCAAACTAATACCCACTTTTAAATTAGGGAATCCAAAAGCTGTCTTTAAACTTTGTACAGTTGCGAAAGGGTCCATCCTCAGAATTCCTTGAGGTTCCTTTCGAAATTTTTAGAACTCTATGAGCTCTTTTAAAATTCTTCTCAGAAATCCTCTGGAGTTATTTTTAGAACTCTTCTTGACTTTTACCTTGGAACTGAAATTCCCTTAGAGTTTCAGAAGAACTCAGTATTATCCAGAAATTATTCCCGGAATGAGCTAGAACTTACCGGTACTCCCTTGAAATTTTCCTCAAAATCCCTTCGGAATTTCACTCAGAAATTAATTTTCTCGGTATTCTTTTCGGAATTATCTTGAAACTATTCGCATAATTTTCTTGGAATACTCACATAATTTTCTTGGAATACTTCCCACAAATCCTTTGGAACTGTCCTCAGAATTCAATATCCTTGACGTTCTTCTCGGATATTTTTAGAACTCTTTTAAGAGCTCTTTTGAAATTCTTCTCAGAAGTTCACTGGAATTATACCTAGAACTCTTCATGATTTTTTCTCAGAACACCTTGGAACTGAAATTCCCCTAAAGTTTCAGAAGAACTTCCTTTGTATTCTCCAGAAATTATTTCCAGAATGAGCTTGAAATTATCCTCGGAATTCCTTTGAAATTTTCCTCAACATCCCTTTGGAATTTCATTCAAAATTTGTTTCTCTCGGTATTATTTTCGAAATTATCTTGGACCTATCTGCAGGATACACTAGAAATTATTCGCAGAATTTTCATGAAATCAATCTCAGAATTTTTTTCTTTTGGAACTGTCCTCAGAATTCAATACCCTTGAGGTTCTTCTCAGAAGTCAAGTTTAAGTTGTCCGTCCATTCACCAAAACGTTGAAGTTTTTCTACCAGAAATGTTCAATAAAGCTTGCCCCTCCATTCACCACAACTGTGCAATTTTTAATTCAGAAATTTTCAATTCAGCTTGCCCCTCCATGCAGCAGTTTGTTGCAAATCTTACACCAGAAATTTTCAATACAAACTTGTCCCCAGGTAATTCTACACCAGAAAATTTCAATTGACCAAATTGCTTCTCCAATCTTCTGATTGGTGCACATTTTTTTTTTTTTTCATTTTCTACCAGACATTTTCAATATAGATTACTTCTCCTAACATCAGAATGTTGCAGGCTTGCCACCAAATAAAGCTTGCCCCTATTTTCAGATTTTTCATCATAAATTTACAGTAAAGCAGCTTCCCTCCAATCATTAGAATGGTGCAGATTTTCCACCAGAAATTAGTATTGAATTTTGTTATTCAGCAGAAGGATGCAAATTAAACACCAAAAATTTTCAGAAAAGCTTTTCCATCCGTTCACCAGAACGGTGCAGATTTTCCACCAGAAATTTTCAATATAGCTGTGCCTTAATTTTCCTGACCAGTGCAAGTTTTCCACCAGACATTTTCCGTTCATTTCATTTATCAGAGCGATTCAAATTTTGCATCATAAATTTTCAGTAAAGCATGCTTCTCCATTCACCACAACGGTGCACCAAAAATTGTCAGTGAAGTTTGTTTCACCATGCACCTTTGTGGTGCAATTTTCAGACTTTGCCTCTTCATGCACCAGAATGGTGCAAATTTTCCACAATAAATTGTCAATGAAGCTTTTTATTTATTTATTTCATCAACCGATGTAGACTAGTACAAATACATATACAAATTTGTTTTTCTTAAGAATATTAAAAAATATATTGTCAGCTATTATATTTTTACTTCCTACGAGTTATGATTCCGTATGGAGTTAAAATATTGTTTTAGTTTGAAACAAGACATTGAAAAGTCAATGGTTTCGCAGTATTGATTGTAAGACGCCATCATGCGATTTAGTGGCCCAAATTTTGCATAATTTGTGCGATCATGGGTTACGGCAAATAAATTTCGATTTCTGAGTTGTCGAGTAGGTACATAAAAATTTAATTTTGATAAAAGTTCTGCTGAGTTAATGCGCTGCGAAACGATATCGTTTACAAACGAAACCATTGCATATTCACGACGCTCTTTTAATGTTTGTATGTTTATAAGCATGCAGCGTGCTTCATATGATGGAAGAGGAAATGATGTCCAACCTAATTTACGAAGGGCATATAATAGAAATTGCTTTTGTACTGATTCTAATCTTTCTTCGTGCGTGATTGAAAATGGAGACCATACAATGCTGCAATATTCCAGTATTGACCTCACATAGGCAATATATAGTGTTTTAATTGTGTATGGGTCCTGAAAGTTATAGCAAAAGCGCTTGATAAAGCCTAGCATGTTATTTGCCCTGTGAATAATTGTATTGTAATGGTCTATGAAAGTTAGTTTGGAGTCTAAGATAATCCCTAAATCCCTGACTCTTTCACATTTTTCTACATTCTGATTTCCTAATGCAATTGAAATGTTTGATGGTGTTCTTTTTCTGCTAAATGATATTAAGTTGCATTTTTTTACATTCAGTTCTAATAGGCTTTTTTTACACCATGTGTAGAATATGTGTATTTCACTCTGGAATATATTGATGTCTTCATCATTTTTTATTTCCAAAAAGAGCTTCATGTCGTCGGCATAGATTAGCAATTTTATTTTTTTGAGAATGAAGGAAATGTCGTTTACGTACAGAATAAAAAGAAGAGGTCCCAGATGAGAGCCTTGCGGGACTCCTGAGGTGACTTGAATTGGGGTCGACTTCTTTCCGTTGAATTTAATTATTTGTTGGCGGTTAGTTAGATATGATTCAAGCCATTTCAGGAGTCCTGGCTCAATTCCAATTTTTTTCAATTTGAAAAGAAGCATTGGTATGTCAATTCGGTCAAATGCCTTGCTAAAGTCTGTATAGAGAGCTTCTACGTGGTTT